CTTTCTCTCGGTGGTTAAGCCGGGGGCCTTGTCTTGGAGCTGTAAAAAAAAAAAAAAAGAAGACGACGAGTTTCATTACCTTTGAAAATGTGATCTCACACTGCTGAACATTCAACCATGTGGTACTTGTTTCAACGTACCTTCTGTATGATCTCTGGAGTCATTCCGACCTGCTCACTGACCTCCATGGCCTCACCGCCAGCACCCTAAGAGGTCAAAACAGTTTAAAAATACTATATATATATATATATATTCAAATAGATTGTACCATAAATGCTAGTGGTGGGAATCATTTGGACTCATTAGATTTGATTGGCCAGATTGGATACAGACTTCAGAATCAAATTTTTATTAAATATAGTTTGTTTTTATTGCTATACCAGCATCTATGGCTATTTTCATGGCAAGATCAATGCATGCTAAAATAAAAAAAAATAGTATTAACATACAGTGGTAATGAATAACAACTAACAACTGACTCAACATCATTACAACCAGCATTTAGATCCATTTACACAGACTGCTTAATGCAGCTCAGATGTGTTATGAACACAATTACACTGCAATTACAATTTTTATAAATAATGAAAGAGATTTTGGGTTTAGATACAAATGTTGAAAATTGAGATGCACAACGTTTCTGCTGCGGCTTCATTTGGTAATGTCATTGACCACTACATCACGCAGTGAAAGTGTGCACTCTCAAGGCGTGCTTTTGTTTTGCAAAGTAAAAAAAAATTTTTCTCCCACCCCTAATGAATGCATAAATAGTCTGGAAGAAATACTGACCACAGCTGCAGGCTGAGAAGCAGGAGTGGCTTGTGGAGTGACCAGTCCGGCTTGAGGTTTGAGTGTAGCCAAAGCTGCAAGCAGAATAATGAACACGTCAGTAAAGGCACAGCACCATCAGCACAGCCAGAAAGCCGCGCTTACCCTCTCTGGCGGCAGTGACCTCTTTCGTAAGACGAGCGATGACTCTGCAGGCCGCATCGTGCTGGTAGAGAGCGTGAGACAGCTCCTGTCGAGTGGTCTGCAACTGCTGCCTCAGAGTAAAACTGTGCAGCATTACGGCATCCTGGAGGACAGACAAACTCAATGATGGAGAAAGACATCACACATTTATTCGTCACACAGTCAGGCCAAAGAACTCACCCACTCATCCTGCAGAGATTTGAGGATCGCAGGAATACTTGTGGCCGAGGGAGCCTTCGGTCGAATGGGGTGAGACACTGAAAGTAAAGAAATAGATGCATTTTGTAGTGACCATAGAGCATCTGAACTTCTCATGAAATCGGTGTCATCTCTGCCTCTGTACCCTTGATATCAATGAGCTGCTCCTCGGACAGTGGCTGTCCACTGATGGGGTCCGCTCCATTCTCCGCTATGTATTTCTCTATCAGACGCCTCTCAAACACTTGATTAGAAACAGGAGAGACACAGGGGTGCTCCGGCACCTCGTTTGAAACTGGAGTGAGAACAAGATTTATATTTTTAACAATTTCAATAAATAAGATGCATTCAAATCAACAAATATTAAGTCTCCTTCCTCTTCAGTATAAAACACTTCATTGTAAGTACACCACTATCAATCGAATGTTTCTTATAATACGATATTCTCTAATATTAACATTCAACAGTTAGTCTAGACTCCACAAAACTTAACATTCACTTTTCTTTTCCCTTATGTTATGAGTATGTTTTGCTTCACGAACTATAAAGTCATCAAGAGACAGCTCTAGCATTAGACACAAGCATGCAGTACTTTCAGCTCCGCATTTCACATTACTTCGCTTCTAGTTTAATGAAATGCAGCGTAGAGAGCATAGTCATTAAAGTGTAGTTTCTCATACATAAAGTTTCTGCTAATATAGCACAACAATGGCTAACGCTGCACACAGCTAATCACTCATGCTAACCGAAACCAACTCGCTTACTAGCACAAACCAAAGACATCTCGCTCAAACAGACGCGCTCCCGCTTTTCAAACAAAGCTGAAATAAAATCAATTCATAAACTTTAAATCGACACAGAGTTGATATTTTTTTTTCAAATCAATGACGGTGCAGCATGTCCTGAGTCAGAACACGTTGACGTGCCGCTCAAACCGCAGTGCATGACGGGATACTGACTCATCCAGAGCGGAAGCGGAAACCGATGGTCTTCCTCAAGGAGGCGCACGCTGCACTTTAACTGAAATTTTTTTTTTTTATTGCATTGCTAAGAACGCACTTGAACTGAATGTACAAAGCAAACTGTTCCCACCAATGTCAAAAATCAAACCTAACGCTACGCCCTTAAAAGATATTAACCTCTATTGGTAATCATCTTCTCAATAATAATAATAATAAGCGCCTTGATTCACATCTTGACAAAGCGCTGAGTAACGTAAACAAGGAATAACGTGAATGTGTGCATTTTAATATGTCTTAAAGAAAAAAGCCGTCCAAAGACATAATACATGGTTAAATAACCTACTGAGTGATCATTCAAATAGAGTTGATATTTTTTTTTCAAATCAATGACGGTGCAGCATGTCCTGAGTCAGAACACGTTGACGTGCCGTGCCGCTCAAACCGCAATGCATGACGGGATACTGACTCCTCCAGAGCGGAAGCGGAAACCGATGGTCTTCCTCCAGGAGGCGCCCGCTGCCCTTGAACTGAATTTTTTTTTTTTTACTTTTTTTCCCACTTTTTTTTTATTGCATTGCTAAGAACGCACTTGAACTGAATGTACAAAGCAAACTGTTCCCACCAATGTCAAAAATCAAACCTAACGCTACGCCGTTAAAAGATATTAATCATCTTCTCAATAATAATAATAATAAGCGCCTTGATTCACATCTTGACAAAGCGCTGAGTAATGTAAACAAGGAATAACGTGAATGTGTGCATTTTAATATGTTTTAAAGAAAAAAAACTTCCAAAGACATAATAATACATGGTTAAATAACCTACTGAGTGATCATTCAAATAAAAGCAGTAGACTATTTTAGAAAGGAACATTTAAAAGATGAAAAGAAGAATTAGGGAGAATCATTAAATTATGAATAATTTATTGCTATTGTATATGTAAACATGCAAGCAATAAAAAGTAACTGTAGTCTAATTACTACAGTTTTTAAAATGTAATATAATCTAATTACAAGCACTTTAATTTTGGAATCTGATTACATAATCCAGATTACATGTAATCAGTTACTACCCAGCTGTGTCACGGTATAAAAATCAAACAAATATGAACATATAAGACTAACGTTACTTAATTTGATCATGTTCCAATCGTGTTTAATGCTTTTATTTTCAACTGTGAATATATTGTGTGTAATTACAACTTTTCACATGTTATTTTATGTTTGTGCTTTAGGAAATGGATCATTACTATCCTTAATTAGGCTTATTATTTTGCATTTTAAGCTCATATTGAGCTTTTTTTTTTTGCGAATGTAACTGTTGAATGTATAATTGTTTAGTTGATTATTTTATTTACACATTTAGTGATATACTCTCAGCCACTGGTATACAGTCAAGATGTGTGTGTGGGCATTACGGCATTGTGACGGCAGAATAATAATAATAATGATGATGATGATAACAACAATCACAAAAATTACAAGTCAAAAGAAAATATTTATTGATGTTGTAGACAAAGAAATATTGCTGTTTGTCATTCTGCAGTCCATAACAGTGAGCAAATGAATTCTCCAATCCCAGTCCATTGCTATAACGGCTGTTTCAGATCGAAGAGGCCGGTTCCTCCTTTCACAACTTTTCCTACAACCAAGCAAGCTGAGGGCGAACTGAGTCTGTCATAAGAACCTAACAAAAGAAAGCAATAATTGAGACACGCATGAATAATTTAACTACACAACTAATCATTCTCAACAATATGCATCATTATTAAATTAGGAAAGACTATTGTACCCAGCATCGTGGCTTGCTTTAAAAACTTGTAACTGGTCTCAAAGGTCATCTGTTGCAACGGGGAGCTGTTGGATTGAATGCCAAATCTGTTTAGAGGCTTGTACACCCCCTCGAAACACATGTAGTCAGCCACTAGAGAGAGATGGCGTGGGTCCACCTCAATACCTGTGAACAGAGGAGCCAGTCAGATCTCCAACGAAGCACACACTGCTGTGCGTGTCAAACAATCCTGTTCTGCTTTATTACCATAGACAGCAAACACATCTTTAATCTCCTTCTCAATGACTCTGAGGGCCACCTCAATACCGTACGTGCTGGCCATAGCATGAACCTCGTTGGAGTATAACCTGTTCAAGTCCAGGATCTAGTACAACAAAACAGATTGTATTACATGCCATATTTGGACAGCTGATATACTAATAGCAATACACTAGAGTATCATGTATGCATGCAGGGACAGATTATGAACAGTGCTCTGGGCACGGACCGATTTAAAGGCCCCCCTCGGTTGAAATCGCGTTCCGGGGGGACCGGTATTTCGGCTGGGCCCCCCTCTGGTCTAGTGCCGGGTTAATCCGTCCCTGTGTGCATGTACAATGAAATTCGAAGACAGAAAACGACGTTGGGTTGTATTGGACTCACATCAGCATGTTTGAACATCTCATGCATGTTGATGCCCTCTGTGTTGAGCACCATCTGTTTTTTGCCCTCCTTTATGGTGACTTCATTTAACAAGCAGCGTGTGATACCCTTGGTCTCCATGATGACAGCGTCCTGAGCCTGCTTCACCACCACTGACGTGAGGTCAAAGTGCACTTTAGTGAGGGGTAGGACCAGGGTTAGCTGTCAAACAGAAGCAGCAATGCATTATGGATATGAATGCACCGATACCATTTGCTGTAAAAACACAGCTTTGGTTCCATATGGATACTTGTTTGACTAATATGTTTTTTTTTTATTACATTACACACATATAAATATATATGCACTACCATTCAAAATTTTGGGGTGGGGAAGATTTTATAAATGTTTTTGAAAGAAGTCAAAACACGCTCATAGTAAAATATTACCACTATTAAAATAACTTTCTATTTTAATATATTTTAAAATGTAATTTATTCCTCTGATGACTGAATTTTCACAGCCATTACAGTGTCACTTGATCCTTCTGGAATCATTCTAATATGTTGATTTGGTGCTCAATAAATATTTCTTATCATCAATGTTGAAAACAGCTGTGCTGCTTCATATTTTAATGGAAACATATGATGCATCTTTTCTTTGATTAAATGTTAAAAAGAATTTAAAAAAAAATCTTACTGACCCCAAACCTATGAATGGTGATGGAATTCTGAAACTTATTTCACAATTTGTTTAATCGAGTATAGTTCAAATATTAGCAGATTAATGCATCGGACCGATATATTGCTTTATATACACTACCGATTTTTTATGTTTTTTACAGGAGTTTCTTATGCTCATCAAGGCATTTATTTGATCACAAATACAGAAAAATATTATTATGATGTAAAATAACGTTTTTCTATTTTAATATCCTTTAAAATCTAATTTATTTCTGTGATGCGCAGCTGTATTTTCAGCATCATTACTCCAGTCTTCAGTGTCACATGATCTTCAGAAATCATTCTAATATGCTGATTTATTATCAGAGCTGGAAACTGTTGTGCTGCTTAATATTTTTTTGGAACCTGTGATACTTTTTTCAGGATTCTTTGATGAATAAAAAGTTAAA